TGTGTGTGTTCACCTGCGCAGCCAAAAGGCAGAACGAGGTCCAGAGCGTACTCTGCCCGTGCAGCCTCTCCGTCATGCAACAGAGTGTAGCCGCCATGAGACCACCGTCGCACTTCACCGCAACATACAGGTGTGCTCAGCTCTAAAGAACACACAAAGGGTCACATATCCGTCACACACAAACACAGCTGCGGCAGGAGAAAAAGACTCACATTGAGACACACCTTTCTGTCTGGTTGTATTTGCAGCTGGGGATTCGGTTGAAGACCCGGTGGCTTCTTCATCCCCCTTTTGCTCTTGCTTCTCATTGTCTTCATCGTCGTCCTCATCAGCAGGACACAGGTAGTGCAGCCGAAGGCCGGTGAAGTTGGAAAGAAGCAGGAAGAATGATTCTGATCGAAGCAGCTCCCAACATGCAGTGACACACTGCGGCAGAGAGTCTAGAGAAGCCACTTCATAGCACCTGAAAACACAAAGATAATGAATGAGCGCTCGTAAATGCAGCATATACACGCAACAAGTCAAATGCTGTGTCAGACATCACCCACCTCTGATTGGGTGGACCTCTCTTTGTCCACTGAATCTGAGCGAGTCGCAGCGCCTCATTCACCTCCCTGAACTTCTCCTCCTGAAGACAAACACAGCGAGTTGGCAGGAACGAGCGAACACACAAACGACATAGAGGGAAAAATGAATAAGAGACTACCTTGAGAAAATCCTTGAGCTGAACTTCGGAGCTGTCTTCAAACTCCTCCTGGATCCGCTCCTGATAGGAAATGTCCAGGTACACTGGATTGACCCACTCCAGCAGCACCGTCTCCTGCCAGGAGCACAAACACGTGAGCAGCCTGACATTTACACTTCGCTAAGATGCTCACATCCGTGTGTTAAGGATGAAGCTGGAGCCAGGGAATGACTAGCTTAACACATATAACCCGTCACTGGACTAAAACATTGTGTTTTTACACTTTGGTTATTGTATAGATGAAACAAGCATCTAATAACATGTTAATCAGTGAGCTTTTAGGAGATATGTTCATTTCCAGCAAACTAAGATAAACTAAGCTAGCTGACTGCTGGTTCAACCTTCATACTGATGAATTATCTTATTGATCATCAGCTTGTGACAACGGTAATGCTCACGTCTCTCGGTAAGTGTGGACTCCTCGGGACGGACGGCTCTGTGTGGCGAGGAGGACGGTCCAGAGAAGGTCCGTGAAACCAGCCGCTCAGAGACAGACGACACTTGTCCTGTGACAAAACTTCTGACACCTGCAAAGACACAGCACACGCTCCAGATTTCCAATCACAGCCTCTTGTTTGGTGCACGTGAAGTTAAAAACCAGAGCATCGGTCCTTACTTGGTGAAAGGAAACTGGGGAAACTTCAAAAAGGACGAGTGTGTTCCAAGAAGGCACGAGCGACTTCGCTATGCTCTGTGGTTGAAAGTTACCTGATGACAAAGATGAAATGGACATGTTGGTTGTCTAAAAGCGCACAAACACACGCAGAAAAACACGCAGCGTGGGATACGCACTGTCTGTTGTGTAAAGATCGAGGGTTCCCCCGTCGCTGCTCTGCCACGGAGGCACGAGATACAAAATGAAAGCAACGCGCCTCCCCTCCAGTTCATCGTCATGACACAACAGAACATCTACAGAGAAGACAGAATATGATATATAAAAGGAAACAGTTAGTCATCAAATAAAAAGAGAGGCTCCAAAGATCCTAGAATATAACTTTCCTGCAGGGGTTTTAGAACTAGTCTCACCTGAGTATTCATATCTGGCACAAGAAATATCCACTGTGGGCTCCAGCTCAACCCCCAACACTTCCCCGAGCCAGGAACGAAAACGCCCGAACAACGCTGCCCTAAAAACAGAAACAGGTTTTCTGTGAAACCCTGAAATGTATTGTGTAGTTACAGTTTTAATGTGACAGGAAATGAGAAATTTAGCAACCCTCAGCGCACAGTCAGACTGTTGGAGTGCCCGAAAGCCCACCGTGACATTTTGTTGTGACATAAATAATAGATGATCACAAGGGGAGGCTGTTATTGTGTATTTAATTACAGTATTTATTCTCCAGGGCTCCATTTCTTCAGCAGGCGTAGCACTGTTTAATCACAAATAAGTATTCAGGAGAACTTACACATCACAATCTCTCCATTCTAAACACAGTTTGTCATAAACTGCGCATTGTCTCTAAATAAAGGAATAATAAAGGTCCATTATTTCACGATCAGGATGACATATGAATCCCGAGGGTGTCGACTTGGATTCTGTCTCGACGCCCAGCTAATATTCTCCCTGATCTATACGCCGAGGACCTAATTTTTCTTGCACTTGGCTCAAACACTGAACCTCTTGGCAGATCTGGTAGCTCTCAATAAAAGCTTTGTTTCAGGTCATTTGCCTGAAAGCTCCAACACTTATGCTGCTGTGATGACTTATGACAGTTTGTTCACTGCCAAGCTCAGCACTGCAACCAGACTGAAGAGGAAACCACAAATCTGGCTTAACTAGGTTCAACTCAGGCTCCGGGCGACTGTGTGTGGCTGAAACTTTCTATCAGGTTCACTGTACGGTCCTACAGTTAGACCAAATGTCAACACCATCTGAGTCATCAGCACAGAAAGAAAGAGATATAATAATAATTAAAAGGCAGATGTAATCTCTAGCTCCACCTGGTGGATCTGATAAATAAACCCCAAAAGGTCTTCCTCGATTTNCTGGACAGGTAACCAGTCTATCACAGGGCTACACTTAGAGACAGACAACCAAGCACACTCACATTCACACCTACGGACAATTTAGAATCACCAGTTAACCTCAACATGTGTTTGGACTGTGGGAGTAAGCCGGAGTAGTAAATCAATGAAAATAATGGTTGACCCTTAATTATATTTTAACATGTGCTTGTCTAGGAGACATAATGGGCAAACTTGAAGGAATGCCAGCTAAAGGAATAAAACCATCATGGGTGGTTTTATGTGAAAAAATCTTAAATGAGATAAACAAGTTTGTGTAACTGTTTCAGTTTATAACTTTGCAGCATGACACAAATCAAAAGCCCACACAGCTTTTTATGATCCAGTTCATAATAAAAAAAAAATTGGTGGTGGTTCTTGCTATTTTTGTGTTGTCTACAGAGGTTTCTACCTAAAGTGTTCCAAGGTGAATCAGCCTGTTTACATGACCAAGAGGAGAAACGATGCTTATAGGTTTTCCAGCAAGACTTTAATCAAGATTATCTTCCAGTGATTTTCAGTGGCAACTATTTTCACAGGCATTTATCTCTATCGCCTATGAATTACTGAGGACTATTCAAGGACAGTCACAGCTTCTTCTTTTTCAAAAAAAGGGATGCCAGGAAAATCTGTAACAAAGCCAACTCACTCATCCCCTCAACAAGTTCCTAATAGCTCACTGTAATGGCATGAATAATGGCAGTTACAATATAACTGCATCCTTTAATTTTTAATCTGCATGAAATGAACCAAAAGGGAGCTGTCTAATATAACTAAGCAACCTCAGCAGATTTTTAGGGCACTCTGAATTTGTAACTGGGGACAAATTACAATTAAAACCAGATGGAAGTACAGCTTTTTTTCCCTGTTTCCTTGAGTCACTGCTGTCTCATAAAAAGGTGGCAATATCATCATGGCAGTCAAAAGGCAGTTTGCATTGACTGTAGCTGAGATTGTACATCAGGTGGTTATTGACTGGTAGTTCTCTGATTTGTTATGTCTACGTGTTGCCTTTAGCAAAAGAATGAACCATACATTTTTCTTAACGAACTGGGAGGTCAAGATAAAAAAAAAGTGCCATTTCAGTGCAGTCCCTTTGCTACACACAGATGAAGAAAGCCACAAACACCTTGTACATATATATATATTTATTCATAGTAGACATAAGAAAAGTCATAAAAGCCTCTGCCAGCAGACTCCGAGGAGCTTTTGTGGTTGACATGTTTGACAAATTTGAGGGTTTCTTTGTCTCTGTAGACGAGGGCCAAAGAATTATCCTCTGGAAACACTGTCAGAAGCTGTGAAGAAGATGGAAACAAAGCAGTGAGGAAAACCACTGAGGTACTGCCCTCAAAATCACAATTTACTTTTTATTATAATCAACACTCACCTCCTCATCCTCTTCGTTAGCCACATAACATGTGTAGCCACCGAACTCTGACTGCCAGTCTGTGAAAGACAAAGTTGTAACAATCACAACAGTCATCAATAGGTTGTTCTTACTCTGTGTGTGTGTGTGTGTGTGTGTGTGTGTTCACCTGCGCAGCCAAAAGGCAGAACGAGGTCCAGAGCGTACTCTGCCCGTGCAGCCTCTCCGTCATGCAACAGAGTGTAGCCGCCATGAGACCACCGTCGCACTTCACCGCAACATACAGGTGTGCTCAGCTCTAAAGAACACACAAAGGGTCACATATCCGTCACACACAAACACAGCTGCGGCAGGAGAAAAAGACTCACATTGAGACACACCTTTCTGTCTGGTTGTATTTGCAGCTGGGGATTCGGTTGAAGACCCGGTGGCTTCTTCATCCCCCTTTTGCTCTTGCTTCTCATTGTCTTCATCGTCGTCCTCATCAGCAGGACACAGGTAGTGCAGCCGAAGGCCGGTGAAGTTGGAAAGAAGCAGGAAGAACGACTCTGATCGAAGCAGCTCCCAACATGCAGTGACACACTGCGGCAGAGAGTCTAGAGAAGCCACTTCATAGCACCTGAAAACACAAAGATAATGAATGAGCGCTCGTAAATGCAGCATATACACGCAACAAGTCAAATGCTGTGTCAGACATCACCCACCTCTGATTGGGTGGACCTCTCTTTGTCCACTGAATCTGAGCGAGTCGCAGCGCCTCATTCACCTCCCTGAACTTCTCCTCCTGAAGACAAACACAGCGAGTTGGCAGGAACGAGCGAACACACAAACGACATAGAGGGAAAAATGAATAAGAGACTACCTTGAGAAAATCCTTGAGCTGAACTTCGGAGCTGTCTTCAAACTCCTCCTGGATCCGCTCCTGATAGGAAATGTCCAGGTACACTGGATTGACCCACTCCAGCAGCACCGTCTCCTGCCAGGAGCACAAACACGTGAGCAGCCTGACATTTACACTTCGCTAAGATGCTCACATCCGTGTGTTAAGGATGAAGCTGGAGCCAGGGAATGACTAGCTTAACACATATAACCCGTCACTGGACTAAAACATTGTGTTTTTACACTTTGGTTATTGTATAGATGAAACAAGCATCTAATAACATGTTAATCAGTGAGCTTTTAGGAGATATGTTCATTTCCAGCAAACTAAGATAAACTAAGCTAGCTGACTGCTGGTTCAACCTTCACACTGATGAATTATCTTGTTGATCATCTTGTGACAACGGTAATGCTCA